GTGTGTGTGTGTGTGTGTGTGTGTGTGTGTGTGTGTGTGTGTGTTGTCTTAGTTACACTTCTATCTAGTAGAATGAGGTCAATTATGCAGAAGTGAATATGGTGCTTCCATCTTCACCTTCAAAAAATCTTTCAAACCAATCTTTCAATCAAATGTTAATTCTACTTAAGAACTTTAATTCTAATTAAGAAAAGAGGATTCAAAAGAAAAGCAATCAAACATACCTGATCCTTTTCAAGTGTAAGTATCTGATAGCCAGTTGTTCTACTACATATTAGTTTTCCACTACTATCAAAAGAGGCCAAACGTAATCTAGGATACAAAAATCACAAATAAAAAAATAAACACAGGATATTTTTAAACCACAGATTAAATAAACCCTCTCTCACTTTAATATTAATTTTTCTTTCATATTCTCTATAAGTCTTTTATGTTTGATAAAACACTTAGGCCTTTTCAAACTATACACTGAATCCATTTATATTTACAAGCTTGTGCTATTATACATATATGAGTTATTAAAATAATTTATAAATGTCTTTTTATTGTGGTAATATATATATAAATTTTATCATTTTAACCATTTTTAAGTGTACAGTTCTTGGCATTAAATATATTCGCATTGTTCTGTAATCATCACCACCATCCATCTCCAGAACTTTTTCACCTGCCCCATCTGAAACTCTGTACTCAGTAAACACGAATTCCCCCTTCCACCTAAGCTCAGCCACTGAAAAATACCATGCTACTTCCCTGTCTACTCTAGGTACCTCGTGTGAGTGGAATCATATAGTATTTGTTCTTTTGTGATGGCTTATTTCACTTATCATAATGTCCTTAAGGTTCATGTTGTAGCACGTGTCAGGATCTCCTTCTATTTTAAGGCTGAATAACATTCCATTGTAGACATATACCGCCTTTTGCTTATCTGTTCATCTGTCAATGGACACTTGGGTTGCTTCCACCTTTTGCCTATTGTGAATAATGCTGTTATAAAAATGAGTGTACAAATATCTGTTCAAGTTCCTGCTTGCAAATCTTTTGGGTAAATTACCAGAAGAGGAATTGCTGGATCATATGATAATTCTATGTTTAATTTTTGAGGAAATGCCACACTATTTTCCCTAAGAGACGCTCCATTTTACATTCCCACCAGCAATGCTCAAGGGTCCCATTTCTCTACATCCTCAAAATACTTGTCCTGTTTTTGATAGTAGCTCTCATAAAGGGTGTAGGGTGGCATCTCCTTGTGGTTTTGATTTGCATTCCCTGATGATTAGTGATATTGAGCATCTTCTCATGTGCTTATTGACCATTTGTATATCTTCTATGGAGAAATGTTTAAGTCCTTTGCCCATTTTTTTAAACTGGTGGGTTTTTTTGTTGTTGCTGGTGGTGGAGTTTTAAGAAATTTCTCTATATTCTGGGTATTAATTCTTTATCAGATATATGGTTAGCAAATATTTTCTCCTATTCCGTGGGGTTGCCTTTTTGTTGGTAATGTCCTTTGATGCACAGAGTTTTTAATTTTGATGAAATCCAATTTATCTTTTTCTTTTGTTGCCTGTGCTCTGGTGTCATATTGTAGAAATCACTGCAAAATCCAATGTCAAGAAGCTTTCCCCATGTTTTCTTACAACAAGTTATTTTATAGTTTTAGTTTTTGTGTTCAGATCTTTGATCCATTTTGTGTTAATTTTTATATACAGTATAAGGTAAGTCAGTATAAATATGTTGACTTTAAAAAAAATTTGTTTATTAGGCTATTTTCCCATTTGTCAGGATCCTTTCCAGAAAAATACTGCCAGCTCCACTATCAGGCAAAGTTGGACATAAATTCTACAGAAAGTGAAGGATAATAAATACCAGACATGTTTTCCTGGAAATATAACTTGTTGTATTTCCAGTTTGGACCTTTTATTTGCTAGGAATAACAGCAAGGCAACAGCTTCAAAGCCATTATCAATCCTTTATCACTCATATTCCAGCCTATTCTTTCTCCCTGACGTAACTAGATCTAGATCTCATGATTTTGATTAACACATTACATAAGAATGGAGCCTTATCATTTCCTTGCATGTCCATATATACTATATTGTATCTTACCAAAGTTCTGCTATTGTTGGTGTAAATTATCAAGGTCTTATTTCATTTCTTCTGGAGTGAGTGGAATGGGGTGGGGAAACTCAACCTACCTAAATGCTATGCTCCTTCGAGGCTGTAAACTGACAGATCCACTACATGGCTGATTCAGTGTATTGCGTTTGAAAATGATGTATCGATTGGTGTAAGTTACAAGCAGGTCAAAGCCGAAGTTAAAACCTGTCCATCGCCAGCAGTACTAAGAAATACAAAACAGAAAGATATAGTTCAGTTTATCATGCTAACAAATCAAAGTTCAAATGTCTTTTCTTCCTCTAACTCATTCCATGTATTTCTCTCGCATGGGTCCCTACTTTTTGTCAGTCCTTTTCCCTTAAAGCTTACCACACAGAATATATCTGTGAATATATATATAAAGATTTATCACACAGGTATAGTATATATCAAAGCCAGAGTAGCAGCCTTTATGATCATCATTCCTTAAGGTACTTTTCTAATATTGCCTCTTTATTATCTGTTTCATTATATCTCCACACTGTAATTCTATCATAAGTAATGTGGCTTTTCACTGCAACTCTAAGTAGGTATATGTGCCAGGTACTGCTCTAGGCATTGAAGAAATAGCAGTAATTAAGTTTCTGTCCCAGGAGAATGTGTATTTTAATATGTGTATATGTTTGTGTGAAAGGAGTAGATGAATAATACACACGGGATGAAATGAAAGAGAAGGGAACAGAACAGAATTCCAGGAGAGGAGCGGGGCTTGCAGCTGGGGAGCCTGCTCGTTCAGACAGGTGGTCAGAGAAAGTCTAAGGAGATGGCAGGTGAGTGGAGTCCTGAGTCAACTAAGGAGTGGACCAGGTGGCTTTCTGGGGAAGGAGCGACTCAAGCACAAGGCTCTGGAGGTGAAACCAGGCTTAACGTGTCTGAGAACAGCAAGAAGGGCTCCAGGGCAAGGGTAATAGCTGAGGGCACAGACGGTGGAGGTGAGCTCAGAGAGCCGGTCGGGGCCAGAAGCTGGAGGGCTAGCAGTCCATAGGAAGGGAAAGTCTGCATTTCTGCTAAGTGTGGGATTAGGCTAATGGGAAGTTTTAGGGAAGCAAGTGATATGATCTAACTAGCATTTTAAAAAGATGACTTTGGCTTTTGTATGGAAAATAGAATGTAGAGAAACAAGAATGAAAATTGGGGGAGCAGTTATGAGGCTACGACAAAAGCCCAGGTAAGAGGTAGTGGTGGCTTGGACTTGGGTGGTAGGGGTAGACATGTGAAGAATATATTTTGAAGGTAGTGCCTGGAGGAATTTCTTATGGATACCAGGTATGGTAGGAAAGAAAGAATCCAAAGTTTGGAACTCACATAATGGATGAAGAGAGGAGCTATTTATGGGTTGGAGAATATTTGGGAAGAAGGAAGTTTGAGATGAAAAATCAAAGAGTTTAGCTTGGTACTTTTATATCTGAGATGCTATTGGAATCCTAAGAAAGATGTCAAGAGAGTAGGTGGATATATGAATCTGGAGTTAGGAGTCATTAGTGTAAAGTTATGGGACTAGGTGAGATCACTTAGGAGTGAGCATACAAAGGTAAGAAGTCCAAGTACTGAGCCCTTAGTCACACCAACATTTGTTAAGAAAGGGAAGAAGGATCTAGCAGACTAGAATGAGCAGCCAATGAAGTAGGAAAAAAATCAGCAGAGTATGCTGTCCTGGAAGTCAAATGGAGAATATCTCCAAGGAGTGAGTGAACAGATGTGTCATGTTGCCAAGAGCTTTCTGAAGACTAAAAACTACTTGATTTGGCAATGTGGAAATACCTGGTGACAATGGTACAGCAGTTTCACTGGAGTTTACTGGGGGTAAATGAACCGGAGGAGATTCAAGAGAGCATCAGAAAATAGGAAGTATAAACAAGGAATATAAGCAACTTTTCCAATAAGTTTTGCTTCAAAGAGGTGTAGAGAAATGGAGTGGTAGCTAGAGGAATATGGGGTCAGGGTATGGTTAAGATGGGTGATGTTGCAGCATGTTATATGCTAAATGAGAATGATCTAATAGAGGAGAAAACCTGATGATGCAGGAGAGGGAGGGGATAACTGTAGTAACAAAGCTTTTGAACAGGTGAGAAGGATGGAATCCACGAGGGGATGGGCTGGGATAGAAGCAGATAATTAATTCATCCATTCTAATAAGAGGAGAAGCACAGCACACAGCTAAAGATGTAGAGAGATTGGAAGAATTGTTGGTAGAAGGATGTACAGATTCTCTTCCTATTGCTTTTATTTTCCGAATGAAGACGCAAGGCCATCAGATAAGAATAAGGGTGGTAGCATGCCCTTTTGAGAAGGTATGAGAGTTACTCAAAGACTGGGAAGATAAATTCACTAGAGAAATGTAGAAGGATCCCCACGCAACACTAAAGACTTGCTTAAAGTTTACAGTTACAAATACGAGGAAATCTCCTTGGGTATGGTGTTTTCTTTAGTCACATTCATCTGTTTGGAAGCAGGCATGGAGTGCATGGAAAGTTGGGATTTAACAAGAATTGGGATTTAACCAGGTAAGTTTGACAGAGTGAAAAAAGAAAAAAGGGAAGTTAAGAATGTAAGCCAGAGACCAATTTTAAGATGGAACATAGAATATGTCAAATAAAGGAAGAAGTAGGGCTATATGGTGAGAGGGTGATGGGAAAAAGGTAATATGAACAATGTATTGTACATCCCAGTGAAGTTAATAAGCTGTTGGAATCAGGTACTAGATGGAGAGTGCTAGAAAGATAATAGGAGGTAAAATCTGAAAATGTTATGCTTGAAATGGAGATTTTGAAAGGGTGTATTAATTGTGATGCAAAAATTCTTAAGAGAAATGGGTGCCTGATGTAGGGTGGAGCATGAGATCAAGAGGGAAGGAAGGTCAGGGAACAGAGATACTGAAATCACCAAGACTGGTAACAAGAGTAGTGATAAGACAGTGAGCCCACTGAATGATGCCACGGTAAAGGTAGTGAGTGGTGCAGTAGAAGTATGTGCTGCACAGGAGCTGTGGTTCAGTTACGCAATTGGGGGGAGGTAGGGAGAGGGGAAACGACGATGGGAGACAAGGTAAGGAAGCAGCCACAAGGAGGGAGAAGGAAAAAGACACCTATTCTTCTATCATATCCTGCTGAACATTTGTCACAATTATGAATGCAAACAAAATAGTTAACTTTTAAAATTAAAAAGTTAAAATGAGGGAAAATTTGGGAGGATAATAACTGAATGGTTATCTACATTAGGCTTGATTTTTTTTAAAGATGAAAAGTATTAGTTAGTTAGGGTGGAGTTTTTAAAAATGTAGTTCATGTCCTATTAGTGGTTTGTGAAATCAACTTAATGAGTCATAATCAGCTTTTTAACAAAATTAAATAGAAAAGAGAATCTTTGGACACAGCAGCAGTAAGTATTAATTTATAATACTTTTGTTTCACTTATATATTTATATTGGGTGGTAACGAAAAACATAATTCTTAATGTGGGTAGCAATCAAAGGGTTCTGAATGTCTTTGACTTAGGGTAATTGTAAAATAGAAAAAATTACTTTTAAGAGTATATAATAGCTCCGATGTAACTTCTTAACTTAATTTCAGGATTGCTGAGGGATCCTCTTCTCATATCACTTAATTGAACCCCAAAAGTTCAACATTCTGATGCAAGGCTGAATACTCAATCACCACTGAATGTGTAACTCCTTGTCCAACAGATCACGGTATAGAAACTGTATCAAAAAAGGTCTTCTGAGGTATGACAGGTGTCATGATTGTAACTGAAAGTATATTTTGCACCTATAGTATAATAATTTGTATGAGAATATTAAGAGTCACAATCCATACTTACTTCACCATCTTTGGCAAGCTTTCTACCACATCTCATGCTGTTTCCCTCTACTTCTTCTTTATTGATTTCCTGAGGCCTAGAAATACATCAAACATGAAATCTCACAGAAAATAGGAAACTATTAACTGAAAAAGAATTGGGTTAAAAAGAACAGAAAACATGCTACTAGATTTAGAAATAAACTTTTTGTGGTATAGATAAAAATAAGAATGCATTGATTAAATATAGTCCTCGCTTTAGCAGCCCTGCAGGAGTGAGCAGTTGCTCACTATCTGTGGATAGAGCACTTCAGTAGGGGCAATGTAATTACATACTTCTGAGAGCAACAAAACCACGCATTCCAGCTCAGTCTCTAAGGTGAGACTATATTAAACTCAGTAAGGATACAGATGAGAAAAAAAATAAAAAGACCATCCAACATTTAAAAACCAAATATACACAAGTAGGATGACTAATAAAATGCATTATACATTACATAATGCTTCAAATCTGAATTCCATTAACTTTCATTTTTTAGTTTTTGATTTCTTATTTCCATTTCAACAATCTTACTATATTTGTACATGATAAGTATGCTGTGAATATATTTAGAAAAAGATGGGATATACATTATAAATAATGTGAAACTAAGAATCCTGGATAATCATTATCATGAGTTTATATAGCACTTTCCTACAATCACTGTTTGGAATGAACACAACTAGGCCATTTTTTAGGAAGTTCTTTGGTATATAAAAATGGTTAAGAGAGATCAGGGGCAATAAAATTAAACTTCTTAAGGCCTCTTCTTGTTGCCACGCAGCTGTCCAGCCGTCTGTCTCCCCGCGCTTAACCCTAAACTGACCCTTTCGAGGACACTGCTCATACACCTTGCGTCTCCCTGTTTGACCCCAAAGGATGGCTGGTTAGTCAATGACAGGTAAGATTCCTCGTGGGAGGAACAACCTAAGACAGGCATGGTCGGGTGGAGGTCATTAGGAAAAATCTCGGGGCTGATGGAGGTGGGTATGAGCCCTCACTCGTCCCCCAAAGAGACTGGAGGTTTTCTACCTCTGTAGCTACATTCCTTCCCTCAACCTGCTAGGGAAGTGACCTGATGGTGTGATAATATCTGTCCTCAGCACAATAATCTTATCTTCCTGGGGTCGTATGCATATAGGGTGTGTATGCATATAGGGTGTGTGAAGGCACAGCATCTGTCTTATCGCTGCAGGCGGACTCTTGGTAATAGCAGCTTGCAGGCATGGGTAACCTGGCTTGAGCAAGTTCTCAGGAATGAGACTCACAGACGGTGGAGGGAACAATGCTACTTCCGGGTGTGGAGAAATAAAAGCGGTGCGTCGGCCCGATTCAGGGCTCTTAGTCCACGATTCGGGGCTCTTAGTTCACGAGGCTGGAGACCGTTGGCCCCACACTCATTTAACTCTTGACTGCTGTTTCTTTTATTTCTTAACCCTTCACCGCTCCCTCGTTCTCCCACTGCTCATGTCATGCGGGATGCGACATCTTCTATATCTCACAGATGGATTATCTTTAAACGCTGCCCATATCAAGGAGCTAGCATAAAGATAAAATAATAAATGTGGAAGTATTTCTATAAACTGCAAAGCAGTATGCATTGAAAGAACAGATAATTTTCTTTTCCTTAAAATGAAGAAAGTACATAAATATTTTATAAGGGATCATATGCTTTTGGGGAAGGCATCTGTAACCAGATGATGTTAATTCATTTTAGACTCAAAAGTCTTCAAAAAAACCTATTAATCAGAATTTGACACTACCACCAAAATAAGAAAATCAGTTTTACCTATACATAACATGTAAATCATGCTTTATGAAAGCATTATTCCAAGTAATATTTTAATATGTTAAAAGAAAATCATAACACTAGGTGAAACGAAGAATATGCATTATTCAATTTCACTAATATAGCAAATGACAATTCAAACATGCCATTATAATTGATAAAAAAAATATTTACAAGATTGATAATGTTATAGAAATATAAGAATTAAAGCTGATCACTTGATCTTTTCTCTACTGTAACAGCTCTTGAGTTTTCAATATAATGAAGGCATTTACAAATTGATACCAAAGGTTTGAATTTTTCTTAGTGAACAACGTGATGTAACATATTTACCCCATCTCACTATCTTGTTCTGCCCGGAGCATAGCAAGCCACTGCTGTTTATACGCTGAAAACAGCCATTCTAAAATGTAAAAATAAATAAATATAATAAGAATAATCATAAGAAACATGGAAGAATATAAAGGATTTCAAATTTTTAAGATGACCATAAAATTGTTACTATTTCTAAATTCAAGTTTAAAATAGCAATAAAGCTGGTAGTTTATATTTTACAAATATACTGTAACAATATGGCTTGATTTTCAAAATGGTAAACATTATCTTGCTTTTCCTTAATATAGATTCTACTTACATTATATACATTTAAATTAAAATTTAAATCTTTAGTTAAAAGTATATTCTTGCATTAATAGTTTCCTTTTCATAACTCATATTAATTTTCATTTGTGAGGAACACAAAGCAATACTTCAGTTTTTACAAAAGTTTTAACAGAAAACTGACTAATCGATTGTTTCTTTATTATCTAAAAATAATAACTAATGGGAAATAAACCGTCTCTTATTAGATAAATGATGCACACTCAACAAATAATTTTGGCATACTAGATTAAAATAACTATTATTAAAGATAAAATATTCTAATTTAAATTATTCTAAATGGAATAAAAATTATAATTATACATATTTTCCTTCAATAATATTAATTTTCCCACAAAACAAGTCTGTGTAAGCTGAAATTTTAATTTTAGATAAAAACATATATATTAAAAATATAGCGGAAGCAGAAGAAAGTTCTAGTGGCTTGAGGTATCGGCGGGAGCAGCCGGGCGGCAGGAGTAGCCGTTCCGGGAGCTGGAGTTGCCGATTAATCCTGATCAAGATGACAACCTCCCAAAAGCACCGAGACTTTGTGGCAGAGCCCATGGGGAAAAAAACCCGTGGGGAGTCTGGCTGGGATTAGTAAAGTCCTGGGCAAGAAGCTGGAGGAAAGGGGCTTTGACAAGGCCTATGTGGTCCTTGGCCAGTTTCTGGTGCTAAAGAAAGATGAAGACCTCTTCTGGGAATGGCTAAAGGACACATGTGGCGCCAATGCCAAGCAGTCCCGGGACTGCTTCGGGTGCCTTCGAGAGAGGTGCGACACCTTTTTGTGATGCTCTCTGGGGAGCCCCCAATCTCTAGCCCCAGCCTTGAGTCTCCAGAGTTTGCAGCCGAGTGGGGGCTCCTCCCCAGTCCTCTACAAAGGATTGATGCCTCCTCAACCTCCAACGCCCTCCAAGGTCTTCAGGGAGTTCTCTCCCCTCACCATTTCAACTTTTTTGGAATTCTGCCTCTTGCATGCATCTCCCTTCTCT